TTTTTTTTTTTTTTTTTTTTTTTTTTTTTTTTTTTTTTTTTTTTCCCCTCCACTTGTGGACAGTAGGGACTGGCAGTCCCTACTTTCAGCAGTGCCTACTGACGGCCAACTCACTCATTCCCTCTCATGTCTCATTTTCTTTTCTTTTTCTTTTGTTTTTTATTTTCTTTTTGCAAGCCAAGTGTCAACTAGCCGTTAAGGCCCTTTTCTAGGCCTCTCCTTTTTGTTTTGGCCCTTTCCATGCTCAAGGGTCAGTCTGTTATTTCTCGGACTGCACTTGTGGTCTTCTTATGCCCACAAGAGCCTCCGTTTTCCTCCCTCTCTCCCAAACGGTGGGCCCCCGTACTCCGATTTTCTCCCGGAGGCCTATTTTTCACATGGGGACTCTTTTGGCTCCGTTTTCTTTGGGGAGGTCAATCCGAGATTTTTCGGATTGCTCCCATGCCTCCCATCACTCGTTTCTTTACTTTTTATTTTTCTTTTGGCCTTCCCGTTTGACCCCACTAATGCTTACACTAGTGGTGCTAATATTTTTTGTTGTCAAGATCTTTGATCTTGACGGTACGCCTTGCTTTATTTATTTGCATCTAATGCCGTGCCGCAATTTTTCCTTGAGACCTCACGCGTCCCCGCCATTTGTCCCACGTTGGTTCCCGACACTTAGTCCCGCTAGTGGTCCCACAGGTACTTCTCCCGCCGGTGGTCCTGCTGGTACTTGTCCCGTCGGTGGTCCCCGACACTTTGTCCCGTCGGAGGTCCCCGACACTTTGTCCCGTCGGCGGTCCCCAACACTTTGTCCCGTCGGTGGTTCCGCCGGTACTTCCCCTAGAAGCGTCCCGGGTTTTCACGGCAGCCTTACGTTCTTCACCTTCCTCATGTTCCGTATGCGGATTTCTCCGGTTGTGGCTCTTCGCTCGGCCCATGGTCGTTTGGCCTCCTTGACACTGCATCCCGGTGACCCTCTTGGCCCGGGCTACATTCTCACGAGCCGACACTTTGCCTATTAATTTTCCCTCTCCCTTATTTCTTTTATCCCCGCGGCGCTCATCCTACGACATTACTTTTCCCAGCGGTCCTTCTCCTTTACGGGGGAAGGGCCATCTTTACTAATTTCTAGTCGCCGTTTGCCTCTTGCCGTCCCGCTTGTCTCTCCTTGGTTCAGTGGTCCCGGTGGCTCCGGGCCGCCTGCAGATCCCTAATGCCTTCAATTCTTTCATCCTTCTTGCTTCCGGTTTTCTCTGCCGTGCACAATTTGGCCATACACAGTCTCTCGAGTGATTGGATATTATTCGGGACCCACCAGTCCCGACAACGATCCACGTGCCTATCCCTAGGGATATCATTCGCATTGGCTAGCAAGCGGTGGTGTGGTTCACCTCGGCTCAAACGAAAGCATGCATGTCCCCCGACCTTCGGGTAGGACAAACCTGCGCAAACGTAGGTAAACACCACGCAAGTAGCATATCCTCGCTGGTTGTGAATAAGGTTGCCAATCGAGGGATTTTTTATCCACACGATCTTAACCTTCTTACGAGCACACTTCTTATACACCAAAGGTAAGTCACACGTCGTAATCCCATCATTCATCATCTTACATACCTCAACTAACTTGATTCGGTCATCGAACATTATCCGAACAGTCAAATCCATCGACATACTAAGGCCAAAACGTTTCCGGATATATCGAGATTACAAGCAACATCGGTACGTGCGTGTTGACTTTTTGTCGAAGTCCTTCACAACACTATACAGACTCATTTGCGATTTGAGACCCCATACTTTCAGATCAGACAACACGCGTGGGTTCTTCAACAGCGAAATTAGGACACGCTTCAGAAAACCGCATTCCGATTTTCACATTCTAAGATACTCAACCTCGATACGCCCTCCTTCCTCGAACCGCCTCTACTCCCATTAGCACATTTTATCGTGGACTCACCGAAGCGTTTCCTGATCTTTTTTCATCCCTTCGTCCAGACATCGCCGCCACTGGAATGTACCGTCAGATTTCTCACTTCCACTTCACCCTCAAGTAGCAGCTTAAGCAGATCTACTGACCAAATATCTTCATCGATCCTCCTCACCCTAATAGGCTAAATAGGCTTACAATTAACGCCTAGCGCCTCCTTTCTCTCCTTCCTCCCCTTCCGTTTTCGCTTACTACCCCTGGTCTTCTTATACCCAGCAGTATTCAAGAACGGAGACCACAAATTAATATAGGTCCGCTCGAGGTCGTGAAGCTCCGACCTACCGCCATATTCAACAGGGAGTAAGACAAAGCTACCGATTCCAAAGGAACTCGGCCATCTGTGAAAGTGAGTGTGTTTCTTATTACAACAGAAAAATTTTCCAGAATTAAATATTCATTTTATAGTAAAATTACATTCTAAATTTCAGATTTTCATTCCATCTTTAAAAATGTCATTCCAATTTTCAAATTTTTCGTCTTACTTGAGAACTTTCCTTCCAAGAATGGGGTATCCCTTCTTATTTGAACTACATGCTAGAGATGGAATGAAAGTCTGGATGAGTTTATGAAATATTTTAATTGGACTGTCATTCTAAGTAAGGATTTTCCGTCATAAATAGGTTAATCCAATTTAAATTAGAAGATATTTATTGTAGTAGAATGAAAGTTTGATTAAAACATTTCATAAACTCGTCCAGACTTTCATTCCATCTTGAACAAATAGATGTAGTTGGAAGGAAAAACTCATATTTAGACGGGAACTTATCAAATAAAACTGAAAATTTTAGAATTGGACAAACATTTGAATAATAATTTATAAATATGAAGGATTTTTTTTTTATGGAATGTTTTTTCAACTTTCATTTCTCGTGGGAATTTTTCTGTTGTATGACAAGCGTATCCATGCTTGTACCACCTCACGTCAACTTCCCGTGTCGTTTGACCAACGTACTGGTGCTTGCAGTAGGGTGATACAGTCGAGTAAACACAGCACTCGATATTCAGAAAGCCAACGCCGAAACGTTCGTACAAGTTCTTCCATGATTCCACGTTCTTCCACAACCATCTCACCTCCCCACGAAGCGCCAACAGGATAGTGCCGATTCTCAGGATTTCCTCAGCCAAGCGATCAAGTCGATCTGACTCCTCCCTATACCTCGTCAACTCATGTACCATGTCCCATATCTCCTCTGTTCCGTAACACCCTCATACTTCAGCTTCAGGTTCGTCCACATCCACTGTAGTCGAATCCTTATCTTCAAAGTCTCCCGATTTTGATTGCTCAACACCCTCAATTTCACCGAACGCCACCCTTGTGCGGTGCCTCGCGATATCAAAAATCGCCTCAACCTTTCCGCTATAGCTCACACCTTCATTCTTACATATCAGTTGGAGCTCTTGCGCATCCAATCCTCTGATTTTATCCATAGCTTGATTGCAAAAACGTAGTTTGGCTAGCGCATCCGTCCTCCCGGGACTCTTCTTCATCTTCTCAACATAAGGAGACATCTTTGTCTTAATCTTGTTATGCGATCGTGTGACACGTCCCCCATTCGCGCCCTCCTTTGCCTTTGTCCATGGTGTACGTTTGGATGGTGTAACCATCAGTGGACTATCTTCGAATACTGGTTTCGGGCCTCTCTTCCTTTTTTCGCTGATTGTCAGTTTTCCAGCCTTCTTACGTAGCTTCTCTGTCTCACTTTCACTTTCACTACTTCCCTGTGCTGCATCTTCATCTGAGAGTACCAGAACCTTCTTCTTTCCCTTCGCTTTCCTCGCAAACTCCAGTACAGGGTCCAGGTTAGCCTCCCTACGTTCAAAAAAGTCTACCGTTCGAAGGGTCAGCTGCATCTTCAGCTTCTTGTTCATCTCTGCTTCACACTCCGCCTCCTTCTGAAGCTTTGTTCGACGCTTCTTCTCCTTCTTGTGTCGTTGTTCCTTCTCATTGTGAATACGTTGTTGTTCCTCTTCCGATTCTTTTCGCAGTCGTTCCTCCTCCGCAAGCTTAACCTTCTCGCTTTGCACGAACTCAAACACCGAAGCCAGACTCTAATTCAGTTTCTCAATCTGCCGCTAGAGCGCCTCATCATCCTGGGCCTTATTCTTCACATCCCACGTTGGAGAAGTCGATCTTCCCCTTCGAGCATCGTAGGACATCGAAGGTCGACTCCTATTCGAGCACTGATTAGCATAGCGCCCTCGTTCATTGCATGTGAAGCATCTCGGTGGAGATCGTCTGTACAGCCTCTTACGATCGTAGGACCGATCGGTGCTCCGATAGCCGCCACGATCCTCGCTGCTTGAGCGGTGTTCCCTCTGCGAATGCTCCCTCCATTCGCTCATCTTCACAGACGTCGATGCCACCAGTATCTTACGTATGGAAGAGTTTTGACCCCCAAACCACCGCAATCTTGACGCAAACTGATACAAATCTTGGTACAGTAACACAAACACGCTCACTCCTCTCAGTAACTTTTTTCCAATAGTGTTAACGTGGGCAGTCGATAGTTGATAGACGACACAATAGATAAAGGTAACACTTCATGGTCGAAATACATCAAGGACATAGTACAACTAAAGTCGCAATACATCCAAGACATGGAAAAAACAAGCAAAGTCGTAACCCAATTATGGTAGGAAGTATAAACTCAAGGTAGCATCCCCAACAAGCAAAGTCGTAACCCAATTATGAAGATAGGAAGTATAAACTCAAGGTAGCGTCCCCGACGCGTTTCGGCGACTGCCATCGCCTCATCAGGGGGTTTCCACCGGCGAGCCTCGCACTGGTCGTATCGATCCATCAGTCTCACTTCCGTTCGCGCTAATCACTAACAATCCGGATTGTTAGCGATGACAGCGACCATGAGCCTGAAGAGCTAACATACTCTGCTTCTCAAGCTTATATCCAAGACCAAAATCCACAATAACACCGAATGAGTGTCACCGGTCCGAAACGAAAGCAAGCCGTAAAAAATCCACCAGGTCTAAAATGGTACCAGAGACCCCGCGCTAATAGGCCGAACTACCGACACCAACACAGCTGCAGGTCCTAGGTTCAAATCACAACTACGCACACAACCCGGACTGAGCTACAAATCAACATTGATACCACGTGCTGTTCAAACACAGATCAAACATGAAAAAACAAAAACCAAAACAAAAACACACACTTGATAGCCTGGTCAAGCAAAATCGACACATTAAACCCTGTCTACTAGAGTGGTTCAGTCCACTTGCCCAACCGGGTCAAAAAGAAATAAAAATTTTAAAAATTAAAAATTATTTTTTTAAGTAAATTTTTATTTTAAATTTGGTAAAAGTTTCCGATGTGATCCTCGAGCAAAAGTTGTTCATTTTAATTTTCTGCATAATATAGTTGTTTTTCGGTTTTTTTTGGGGGGGCGGGGGGGAGGGGGGACCTTCCCTACTCCTTGAACAGTCGGGCCGCCAGGGAAAATAGGGTGACCCGGGCGGCCCGGCTGGTAGCCTAGAACTATATGTAATTGTAAATCAATTTTTTTTTTTTAATAATTTGTTCTTCTAAGTTTTCAAATATGTTTTATATAATTTAAGACGATAAAATAAATTTACATATTTTTTCTTTATTTAACAAAACCGTAAAGAAAATGGATGATATAACTTTTATTTCAAAAATAAATTTGCATAAAACATTATGGTTTATTTAGTCGTAGATGTTTTACAGATCATCCTCATGACATCGCATCGTTTGATGGACTAACACTTGATTGACATTACGTCTAAGTAACACAAATAATCTGTCCGGATTATCCGATCGGATTATTTGGCCGGATTATCCGGATGTGAAATTATCCGAAAATCCGGATAACTAAAAAAAAAACAAAAAAATATCAAAAAAAAAAAAAAAAAGTGATCTTGTGCATATTGAATATAACAGAACTATGCTTTTAGTTAAGAAAAGCTTGATTGGTCAACAAAGGGTTCAAAAAAGGGTATAGATAGGGAATTAAGGGGTTTAAAAGAGAGTTGTCCAATTTATTTTATCTCAAAATTTCTCAATATTGTTTAATTAGTTTATTTTAATTTTTGTCTTCACTTTGGTGAGGATACCAAATGTGACATCAAGCCAAAAAAAAATTATATTGTTTAATCTACCATATATGTTATTTTCAGATTTTTTTTATTAGTTTTTGTTTGTAGGGGGAAAACCTTATTTTGCATTGGCCAAGATTTCTCATATCCAGAATTAATCCGAAAATCTCACTCGGGTTCAAAATTCCGAATAAAATGGGTGTGTCGGATATCCGGTTTTGCTACCTAGCATTACATTACGGTCAACATTTATTGGTAAGGTATTTCAATGCGATTGTATGAGAAAAGATGTTCAGTTTATTTTCTATGACATGACCACGTTTAATAGACTTACACTAATTTAATTGGCATTACATTATGGTCATCATTTATTGGTAAGGTATTTTGATGCGATTCTGTGACAAAAGGTGTTGAATTTATTTTTGCGCATAATATAGTGTTTTGTTCTAGGCTGCCAGAGTGGCCCAGGACAATTTGTCTGACCGGCTAGGCTACCAGCCGAGCCGTCCGGGTTCCGGGTGGCCAGCCCGTGCAAGGACAAGGGAAGGTCCCAACAAAAAATAAAAAATCCAAAAAATCCAAGAAAACGACTATGTTATGCAAAAAAATAACTGAACAACTTTTGTCTCAGGGTTACATCGAAAATGTTTACCAAATTTAAAATATAAAATAAAATTTTATTTATTTATTTATTTATTTTTAATATTTTTGGCCCGGCCGGGCAAGTGGCCCCGGGCCACTTTGGTAGCCTAACTGACCGGATAAAAAAAAAAAAAAAGGAAAGAATTTCAATCTTACTTTAAAGCAACGTTATTCAGTTTATTTTCTTGCATGAACTTTTTTTTCCAAAGTTTTTGTATTTTTTTTTTTTTTTTTTTTTTTGACCTTCTATGGTCCTTAGACGGTCGAGGAGCCCGGGGAAGTAAGGTGTCCCCGACGACTCGACTGATAACCTAGGTTTTTCTTTTATATTTTAGATTTTATTCTTAGGGATCTTTCTTAACCCTTACCTATACAGTCCGGTTGCTATGCCAGACTTGTATAATATTTCACTTTTTTTTTTTCTCCTTTTTTTTCAACAATCAAAATATTTTCATTTTATTTTTAAAGTTTTTTTCCATAAACATTAACACTTGATTTAGAGAGAAACTCGGTAGCTGTTCGCTTTTTTTTTTTTGAAGCGCTAGCGTTGCTTCGGTGAGCGCATTTTCGAAGTGCTAGCGCAAGCGCTCACGTCAACTGGATCTTCCTCGCCCGGGCGGGACGCATGTGGAAAAACACGTGAGATTTCTCGCACTAGTATGTTAAATTGGAAAGGTGGGACGAGATCACGTCTCGATTCGCCACGCATTCGGGCTTCGGGCGTAACTCTAATCATCTCGACAAAAAACTATCAACAACGGAAGAGAAAGGAGGAAGAAAAGACAGACAAGAAGAGAAATGAAGAATTCCTTACAGGGTGGTAAGGAATACAAATAAGGAAATGGGTTAAAGTATGGCGCGACCAGGTATTGGAAAACAACGGAAAGAGAAGTGAGTGGCGGGCAAAAAACGAAAGGACAAACGAGAGGACAAACGAGGAGTGGACAAGGAAGAGGAGCAAGAGAGATGAGGAGAGAGAGTAGGAGACGATCATTACCGAGACATAGAAGCCAGGATCGAATGGTGAAAAATGCAAGCACGTTGTCGGCGTGAATACCCTTACAAGGGTATTCGCGTGTATATTTGCACTTCACACAAATCATACTTGAGATAATATGAGAAGTCGGAACTTACGTAAGTATCACGCACCCATGCCCGGCTCATTATAGTCGAAAGATGGGGCATGCGAGGTGAGATTAGAGGGTGTGTGTTCGCGCCAATTTAAGGGCGCCTGTAACTTTTCCTATACCGGATAAGGTTCGGTAAAGACAGGGTTAGTTCAATTGGTGTCGAGTAGCGCGGAGCGTGCGTGGAGCCCGACACCCGCACAATAGAAAGACACCTGTTTTTGCCGTCAATAATCCGGCCGGTAACCCCAAAGTGCGGCCTTTGGGGTTTCTCCGTAGGACCGTGCGGTTGGCCAATCATATTCATAAGGTTTTCCGATAATGTCAATGCCAGCCTTGGGCAAAGCACTATCGGTTATGGTGTTAAACTTTTAGGTAGCAAATTCGAGGATCGAGGCCGACGACCGGTGACGAGGGACCAGCAAAGCATTATGAAGGGAAATGAGGGGTTGAGGTCAGGTGGGATCTATCCGCCTCGTTTTTTTTTTTGCTGTCGACCTCGACAATAGGCCCGATTGCCTACCATTACTATTTTATTTTCTCTTACTATTTTGTCTTTTTAAGTTTAATTCTTATTTTTAATTTATCTTCTTTATGCTTTATTTTCTATAAAACCGGTCCCGGCGTTGGTACCAGGGCCGATTTCTAGATTAGACTGGGCCTAACTCGTTTGGAACGACCGTGAGTTGAAGAAAAGATGGGTGTAGTCTACGGTAGCACCGACTGTCAAACATGATCTGTTGTTGAGAGAGGTTTGAGTGTGAGCTGCTCGTTGGAACCTGAAAAAGGGGGGGACTCTGCCCAAATAACTTGAAGGCAGGCCCAGAGGGAACGCTGAGAAGGGCACGCAATAATACTACCGTGCAATTTGTTCGTATGACCTCGAGCACAGGGGTGAAAAAAACATCGAACTACTCCCTGGAATAAGCTGGTAGGTGTTGTTGTACAGGCTAACCGCGCTGCCGTAGGACCGGCTCCGATTCCTATAAGACTTTTTCACGGTCGTGTTTTTCAATTTTTGTTGACACATTGGCCGATGTGAAAAGCATGTGCGCTGCTCCGCTATCTTGATATAGCTTGTGCACTTGCGATCTTGTCAACCTTGTTGGCAGCTACGCACTTACTAGGACCGAGGTAAGGAGGCGCACAGGTAAGAGATGAATCTGGGGCCAAAACACGACACGTACGTTCGGAGGAGGAAGAGGATGGCGGGGTGAAAAAGGAAGAGGGTATGACGAAGGAATGTTCGTTATGCTTGTCTGTCTCGTAGCAGATCTGGACGAAGTGAGGCACGAGGCTGGGAGTCTAGCATATAGCGAGTTGGTTGGTGAGGGTGGAATTAAGGGTAGATTAAAGGTAAGATGTTTAGCGGAGGGGACAGTACGTGAAAGCATCAAGAAGGTGGCTACGGCGAGGGCGAGGGTTGTATTACATGCGTGACACTTAACGAAGATGGGCGAGTGAAGGTTTGTCTCGGAGGTTTCTTGTCGTTGCGAGTCGCATGGCAGTGCTAGATTTGCGTTAGGAGGCTTGGTTCAGGCAGTATAGTTAGTAAGAGT